ATACATGATTAAGAGCATCGTGGTTTGTGGACACAAGAAAGCAGCCCATAATAACTGAATAGGCCCAACTGTTGTAATATCCAGATAAAAATCATGATCACTTTATCATAAAAGTTCAACTAAACTCTTTCATGGAAAACCAAACCAGCATTTCCACTCCAATATTATCAGCTGCACTGACCTGCTGGGTGGGGAGAGACAAACAAAACTGGAAACGTGAGGTTCTTTAACAATACCAACGAGGAGAAATGTCCTCCAGTGTGTCCATTCCTCCTGACACACCCCAATCACCAGGGGCGGACGTAACGAATTACAAATACTCACGTTACAGTAATTAAGTAGATTTTTTGGGTACTTTTACTTTTATGAGCCTTTCTTTCAAGTGTGTAATTTTACTCATACTTAAGTACAATTTAGACCATGTAATGTACTTCACTACATTTAAAATCAAAAGTTGCTACTGAGTATGGCGGCAATTTGAATTAATATTCAAAGTGTTCATCTGCACCTTTGTACCAATATGGCTCTCAGATCGCGAATGTGCCAGTTACCTGTGAGGTAAGCAAAGGACAACTCTGGAGCGTAGAGAGACATTTATGGACCAAAGATTTGGAGACAAAGCCAAAATGGAGACAGAGGACAACAACAGAGAAAATGATGAGGTAAAGGCTGAGGACGAATGCCCGTGGCCGTACCTGGAGGAATGTTTCATGCACAAAGGGCGAAAAGGAGACAGAGTCCAGATGCAAACTTTGTTTGATCTCTACGGTGATAGCAGCTGACAAGACTTCAGCATCTAAGCTCAAAACACATGTTGTGGTATATGATGTTTTACAGCTACCTGTATGATATTGCTGTTTTGTTGTTTGTATGTGTGGGTTATTAGTTTGGCTAAGTATGCAAAGATCTTAAATATTGTCACTGCCATCGGTTTGCCTGGTACTAAAATAAGACGGAGCATCTGAGGAATGTGCTTTGAATGTAGCGATTATTTATATATATATATATATATATATATA